GCGCAGAAGTCCCATGCTCCACGAGAAGAAGACGACAACAGTAAGTAAGTAAGTAATGGGCTTACCGTATTAAAGTTTAAGAAACACATAGTTCCATCTGTAACTTTTATCAATTTGCAACTTTAAGGTTAATAACAAATGTACCGTGGTATTTTATTAATTGAAACACACGTAAAGATCGTAATCTTTATAAAAGAAGAAGTGTGTATATGTAGTTAATATAACTGCTTTGTCTTTTATATGATAATACCGATTTTCACTTTAAAACCTTAAGATAATAAAAAAGTAGGGCATGTTTATAAATTAATGTTATTAGTTGAAAATTAATCAAAGTTCTCAGACCTCTTAAGAAAATAATTTTAAATGTAATTCTGTTTATTTATTGTATAATCCTAAACCTCTTGAAAGAATAGGTGTAATTATAGTTATATTACAGAATGTTTAACTGTCTCTTGAGAAAAGAGTTTTAAAAAAAAACTGGACAATCGATATGAACGGGCACTTTTTATATCAGATTAAATCGTATCTGTCATCTCTTATATATGGTTGTCATTGCAGTAGTGTTTGCTCCGCGCTGATACATATATCTATTGCCCCGATGAAACTACATTTTGATTATAATTTTTAAATCAATGTTTACATATCATTCCTCATAATTGATTACTGGTATTTGAGCACATTACCACAAACACCTGCAGGATCGGGGACGCATCTAAGCTATACTTTACTTGAAAAACTCTTTAACCAGTCGCAAATTTCATCTATAATTAAATTTCTATAATTAATTTCTATAATTAAATAATTTACAATTTAATCTTAATAAATGGAAACCAGGAGTTCGAATCGAAACATATTACACCGCGATCATTACTTTCAGAAGCGAAAAGAATGGCTCAGTAAACATTCCACTGGTAAATGCAGAACTACAGAGATAATATATATAATACTTTATATAGTATGATTGTCACATTACTTTCTCAACAAAAGAAGTGGCTTGGATCCAATAGTAAAAAACTTCAAACTTATTTAAATTCGAAAAATTGGATGTAAATATTTTTTTAATATTCTAAGACTTCTTAAAAACTATTTTATTTTTAAAAAATATGACTATTAATTCTCTTTTTATATGCCAAATGATATACAAATATTATTTATATCACATCTTCTTAACAAATCGTGTCTAGCAATTTTATTGTATTCACCTATTACTCCGTAGTCTATGGTATGAGAAAAATGCATTTGACAATGTGGGTGTGGCATTTGTCTTCTTAAGATAAATATACTTGTTCTTAACAGATTTATTTTTTTTTATGAGTACATCCTAAGGAAAAATTCGAACCGGCAACTGCTCTACACCACTTCGGCTAGTTTTTCAGCAAATACTCGTATTTTTCGCGGTAATATCAATAACAACGATCAACCTGATGATCGTCTTGATAAAAGTGATAACTTAAGTGAGACGTTGTTGCTGCTGCTGCGGATACTGATTTTAATGCTGTTGACTGACTGACAGTGATTGTTTCTATTGCATTCTCGTATGTGAGTTGATGTTAGACAGTCAGTCTACGACTGCATATCATGATCACACAGGTTTATATTATTGAAATGAAGTTGCTAATGATGATTACCATTTGAAATGTTAGTTGTGCTGCATTAGTGAAAGTAGAACATATACTTCACTTTAGTCCGCATAGTCTGGCTTTTGGCTATGTGTCAACTAGTTATATAAGTGATCATATAAGCTTTAATCTTTTCATATAGGAAGTTATATTTCTGTATAAGGAGTATGTAAATATTTCAGTTTTTTATATAAACAGTTTTTTATATAAAATTTTTAATATATCTTAATTTAAAATGGAATATAATATTTTTAAATGTATGCAATTACAAACAAATATTTCTCGATTGATAAGCTTCTGATAATGTCATTCAAATGATTTTTGAAAAATGAGTGGAGGACTATATAATGAACCGTTTTGGACAAATATATGTATGGTACCACTTTCTCACTTGACTGTTTATTAAAACATATATTAATCAAATAAGAAGTTAAATGATCAATAATTTATAAAGCTCTCTAACTAATACCGATAGATCAAAGGGTTCACATTTTTTTTGAGCATCCCTTGTATTCGTCGCGTTGACGTATATTTCAACTCAAAAAGTATTTATATAACTTGGTTTTTGAAGTATTTATTCAAAATTTTTTCTTTCCTATTTCTGTTATTGGCCTGAAATTTCTATTAAAAATTAAAAATAAAGCTAAGAACATTTTCTATTATGTGGTGTTTTACATATTCGGAACAACATACAATAATTAAAACAAAATTATATATCACCAAAAAATAAATCTAAATACATTCGAATTTCTCACGTATATGAAAAGTATATTGCTTATTTGATCACTTATATAACTAGTTGGCATACTTACATCTAGAAGCAGACTGAAGATAGTGCACACTAAAGTAAAGTATATGTTCTACTTTCACTAATGCAGCGCAACGAACATTTCAAATGGTAATCATCATCGTCGTTATTATAATATAGTGATCATCATTAGCAACTTCATTTCAATAATATAAACCTGTGTGATCATGATATGCAGTTGTAGACTGACTGTCTAACATCAACTCACATACGAGAATGCAATAGAAACAATCACTGTCAGTCAGTCAACAGCATTAAAATCAGTATCCGCAGCAGCAGCAACAACGTCTCACTTAAGTTATCACTTTTATCAAGACGATCATCAGGTTGATCGTTGTTATTGATATTACCGCGAAAAATACGAGTATTTGCTGAAAAACTAGCCGAAGTGGTGTAGAGCAGTTGCCGGTTCGAATTTTTCCTTAGGATGTACTCATAAAAAAAATTAAATCTGTTAAGAACGAGTATATTTATCTTTAGAAGACAAATGCCACACCCACATTGTCAAATGCATTTTTCTCATACCACAGACTACGAAATAATAGGTGAATGCAATAAAATTGCTTGACACTGTTTGTTCTGAAGATGACGTTCATAATTGCACCATATGAACTACTTTATAAGTTAAACTAATTAATCAATATTGACAAAAAAGTGTCCGCTTATAAATTTTAAATTATATCTACTCATTGGAAACCTTTAACTTGGATCCAAACTTTTTTGTGTAGATTGTTCATAAAGAAGTACTTAAAGAACTTATTTATTGCAGTATATATCTCAGTCAAATTGGTTCGCTTCTAATAAATAAATTAAATTGTTTTGCATTTTAATACGTATTAAATTCTTTTAAAAATTAATTTAAAATATATCACTTAGTTTTTGCTTCTAATCTCAAAACCGAACTTGAAGAATAGGTAATATATGAAAAAATAGTTCACGTTCTACCTTTATTTGGTGCTGTAAACTTAAACTATTTTGGACTATTACTGAAGTATCTAGTAAAACTGCTGTCCTATAATCTTTATTATAGTTGTACTTTTTAAAGTTGGATTCTAAGCGTTTTACAGTTTTTAATATCTTGATAGCAGATATATTGACGTTATATTATGATATTTGGGCTTACCCTCTTGAAGTGGCTAGGTTTCTGCGACTGTACCCGGGATGATTTCAACTTTATCCTTCCTTCCTTTCTCCCTTTTTTCCCTTACCTGTACCCCAAACATCACCGATCCACATCCAAACCCATGTATGTATGTATTTGTCTTGTAATCGTTACATCAGTAGCGATTGCTCATAAGTATGCAGCTCAAATCATAGAACATTTCTATTATATTTCGTTTTTCCCTTTTAAGCAATTACATTCACATATTTATATAGTGAGAAATATATGAGACTAATTATTGTGTTCTATTTTGTTTTATTCTTGCCGAAACTGTTAAGTGTACGCTAAAGTTCACAGCATCCACGAATTTCAGCCGTTAGGTGTACGGTGTAGTTGGCAGCACATTAATATGTTGCAAGTGCGTTTGATTTTGTTTGATGAATGCATAAAAATGTAATTTTGAGCACAGACTCTCAAAAGTTACTTTGATGTTGTGAGAAAAGTTATGTTCATTCCATATTGGCATAATATTGAAGTTAAATTAATAATTTAATTTATTTCGTTAAAATGCATAAAATTATGAATGAATAAGAAAAAAATAATATAACCAAGTTATAGAAACCCTTTGATATATAATGTTTATCTGTTTATTTAAAATTTTAATATATAAAACGTTTGTGCAAAGTTTTTCTGCGGAAATTTTCTTTTTGTTTAATTACGTATAGTTTTTGTTATAGCATATTTTGTCCATATATTTAGGGAAATAGCACACCACGGACCCTTCTTGACTACGCTCAGATGAAAGCAATTAAAAATTTTACAAATATTTTAGAGTTGCCACAACATCTTTTTTAATTTAAGATCGCAACTTTGTGTTGCGAACAAAGAAGATAGAGAAAAGAAACTGAAAGTTATTCGAAAAATTGCGTATGAAATTTGAATACGAAATATTAGGCCTGTTCCACTCGTAGTAAAACTCAAGTTAAACACATATAAAATTTACACGAAAATTTGCTGGTTTAACCAACTTGTGTACACACAGCGCTACTGAAAGTTACTACGAGTAGCTCGTGGAACAGACCGATTATTTACTGTGCAGAATTATTTGGGCATCATTGCCCATATAATAGTTCACTTATTGCGTTGGTAACACTTTTTTTTCACTGGCCGATGTGTTTGGACATTATAGCTATATTGGTCGAGGTGGAGAAAATGGTATTGCTGCTTTGCGTATATTTCGGCCAGTATAGCCCAGTAACTTGTTGTTTTTTGTCATACTTGCCAGCCATCGAAAACAAACCTAATGCTGTTTCAAACAAACTTAATGCTGTTTTTTACAACTCTGAAAGAAAAAATTATTAGTATTATATATGATTCTAATGCAAAATAGTTAATATCTTAAAATAACTTTCAAGTAAAAATTTGCTACTAAAACTAAATGTTGGCAACCCTATGTTAGAACTGACAATCAGCTGTTTTGCAGCAGTTGACGTAGCTCAATTTGTGTTGTGATGTGTTTCTGCTTAAGAATAAACAAATAAATAAATTTGCTCAACGAAAGAACTTAAAAATGGATTTGGAATATGAGCGGGTGTTAAAGTTAATATTTCCTGATGGTGTGCCAGGTATTTATAAATATCAGTTAATTTTATGATAATAAAAATTAAAATCAAATAAAATAGAAAACTTGCGGGATAATCCGGAATTGCAGAATTATTTGTCAAAACTGGGCACATACAAAGTAGAACAATTAAAGAAAGAACAGACGCGTCTCACAGAGGAAACAAAAAACATATTGGAGGAAACGCAGGAATTGGCAATTTCTAATTACAAAACCTTCATACACACCGCAGAAAACTCACGTACCATTTTTCGTGAATTCCAAAATGCGGAGGAGCAGCTGTCTGCGATGACTGAAATATTGCCCGAATTTAGTGAGAAATGTGAGCAATTTTTGACCAATTCAGCTGAAATACATGAAAATAGACGCATAAATACGATAACACTTAAAAAAAATTCCAAATTATTGGAAATATTGGAATTACCACAGCTGATGGAACGTTGCATTCGTGAAGGTCGTTACGAAGAAGCGCTGGAGCTAGCTAGTTATGTGCAGAAAATGGGACAAAATCAAATTCATATACCAATTATAAGTGTAAGCATAAAGTATTTCATTAGTAATATTAATGTATATTTTTGAATTTTCGTAGACGATTGTTAGTTCTGTAGAAGCTTTGTGGCATACGATGTTGGTGCAACTCATAGCGCAACTGCGTACTGATTTGCAATTACCGAAGTGCCTACAAATCGTGGGTTACTTAAGACGCATGCAGGCATTTAGCAGTAATGAGTTGAAGTTAAAATTTCTGCAGGCTCGTGATGTTTGGTTGACAGCATCGTTACAGGCAATTCCAGTGGACGATGGTAAGAAGAAAAAGCTCAATTAGTGCACTGTATTTGTTAGTGGTTTGTTGGAATAGTTAAAATAAATTAAATGTTTTAAAACTATTTGTAGGTGTCACAGCAGTGACAGACGCAACGTTTTCAAAACTGAAAACGATTTTTAATATGTCGTTGGAAGTTTATATTTCAAGTTATTCATTCAAATTCAGTATTTCTGATAAGTAACACTTTAACGTTGGTTCTTAAAGTGAGTACTAGTTTCTTTTTTTTTTATAAATTTAATGAATGGTTATTTAATTTTTGAAATGACATACCCCTTATATTAAATAGAGAGTCTGCTAGAACTCCCACCAGCTAATGAGTCTATTTTCGATGAATTAATTTGCAATTAATTGCCAAATACAAATTGCTTGAAAAAACCAGGTTATCTTTATGTTTCTAATTGCATTTAGTTTATGGTCATAGATGGCGTATTCCGGAAGACGCGGTTAGATCTGTACCTTAACAAAATAATCTAAAGATAATAATATTATTTTTAATAATATTTTTCTGGCTATGCCGCTGTCGTATTACATAGAAAAAATAATTTACACAATATAATATAGAGTATTCGATTTGCATAATTTGAAAAGTTTTTATTGATATATAAAATGTATTATTAATTGCTTCAATTCATATTAAAACGCAAAAAGAAAATTACTTGTGGAGGAACTATGAATTTGTTGTAATCCCATTCCGAATGGAAAAGTAAGTCAAAGCTGTTGTTATTATTGTAGTTCGACAAGAACTATATTGCCAAAAAACTACATTGGTTAGATTGTAGATTAGGTAAGGGTAAGTGTGGGTTACAAAATCGCCCAGATTTAAGTTTCAAAGCCACATGTCAACTACGACAACCAAGCACCACTGATTACTCCCAACAGCGACTATATAACTATGCATATAAAAGATGCAGTATCTTCTTCTAGACCTAGGTTGTCAGACAACAAGGTTCTCTGCCTGAAATCTCCCCGGATGAACGTTGTCTTCCTCGTGCAGCAAGAACTATCCTTGCTCAATTGAGATCAGGATATAGCCGAGTGCTAAATAGTTACTTGTCTCGCATAAATACGTCTATCCACAATGTGTGCCCTAACTGCAGCTCTTCTCCCGATAATGTCGCCTATCTGTTTTCATGTCCTTCTGCACACACAAACCTTCGTCCAATTAACACTTGGACTCACCCCATTGAAGTGGCTAGGTTTCTTCGCCTGGATCCAGAATGACGGTCATTTACCCCCTAACTATCCATCCACTTCCCTACCCATGTATTCGTCTTGTGTTTCCTTTTACGTTTATCTGCTTACAGGTCCCGGCGGGTTACAACAACAACAACTATATGACTACAAAGATCATTTCGCTTTGATTTAAAAAGTAACCTATCGATAAAAATAAATTTAATTAGAAATGTAGGTGAAGCTGTCTGTCAGTAAATGGCTGGTAACTTTAATAAATATAGTTTGAATTTTGACTTCTATTAAAACTCCTTAATTTCTCGTTAAAAGTAGTATTTGAAAAGTTGTTAACGATTTTGTATAGTTTTGCAATATATTAATTAGACGCATTATCAAGAAATTAAACACCTTTTGTTCAGTTTGGGGAAGATTACCTTGGAGACATAAATCGATGGCGCATTTTAGTTAATTTCATTAGTTTGAATAAATTTTGTTTCAAATTAATTTCAATTAAAGCTTTGCTTTGGTTCGTGTTTTCAATGAACAGGGTATGGTCACACGTAATATAGTATCTGCACACCATTTGCCTATACCATATTAAGACCATGGTGCTATATCGCATCCTTCCCGACATGAACCTTTTTCATGTCGACGATCTAGAGAGGCTAACTCGATAAAACTCGTAATCTTCGGTGTTATTTCATCCGTGCCGATGAGATGAATGACACAATGTAAGTATTTTGGAGGTCTCTACATAACTGGCCTTATGTAGCCTATAAATATTTTGAAATTGATAAAGCTCCGTGTTGCTATTACTTTGATAAGAGAAAGAGGAGTTCATAGTCGATTTTGAGTACTGATTACTAAATGTTAGTCTTCGGCTTTTAAAAGCAGCGACTATAGTGCCGACAAAAATTTAAGGAGATATTATTTTTTTATTTAAGATTTATTAAATGTGTTCATTTCTTTTTAATTTATTGTAATTAAATTTTATTATTTTAGTTTTAAATCTAATTTTATATTTGACTTTATATGCATTTCCCTCTTTCATTTATTTTTTAGCTCATCAACATTTAATCAAAACAATTGAACTGACACGCATAAATCTTTTCAATGTAATCACACAATATTGTGCAATATTTCCTGATGAACTTGAAACAACTGCAATAGATGCAGAAAAGGCAGCAGCAGATGCAGCAGTAGTAAGTGACAGTAACTCAGCCTCAACAACAACGCCGACAAAGTTAAATAATGCTTTGTCAATTATGGAGTCCGCAGGGGATAGACTTTTTCAAGCTTGGCTGCATCGAAAGGTAGGTGAGACAATTGCGTGACCTTTAAGTATTTTGAAATTCTGAAAATAATCGATAGCAAGTCTTAAGCAAAATTAATTTATTTTTCAAATGTCTTTGGGATTTGACTAACATAAATCAAGTTTGCATTTTAAGTTATGACTGTAGAGTAGTTATACGCCGAAATACTTTTTAGTGCAAAAACTAGTTAGTTTTGAATCACAATGATGTTTTTGCATAAAGTTGAAATTAGGACATATAACTAGTATCTAGTTAGTTACTATAAAATGATTATTTACATTAAATTATCGGCTTAGAATACATGACTTGTATAAAAAAACTTGATCTTTGTTTAAGTTAAAATTAAAAAATTTCGGTTTTATGTCTTAAAAGTAATCCAAAGTTTTCGTATAGCCATCTTGAGCAGACTGTGGCTCACATTTTGAGTGCTCATTACTTTTCTAAGCCGTTACCTTTTTCTATGTTGGTCGTATACTGATCTTTGCGGTACCACGATGGGCTATTATTTGAGCACAAGTGGGCTTTTTGGAAACAAGGCCGCTACCCCATCCTTGCTAACTACTTATTTTCCTAAAATATTACTGCCAATCTGTATATGATGACTTCTCTTTCCATATCCCAATTTAATTCATAAGAGGTTTAAAAATTTGAATACTTTTCGATTATATAGTTATTTGTTTATTATTATTTTACGTATATTGCCATATAATAAAAATTAAATCGCACCGCTAGGTAGCCCTTCCTTATTAGTATGTTTCATACTGAGTATAAAAATACAGTGTGAATGCAGACTTATGACTTCTTCTGCGTGTAAGATCATATTCGCGTTTTTAAAAGAAATTTTATTGCATTCTAAGATAGTGCAAATATAGTTGTGTTGTTATCCAATTAAAACGGAAAAAATGAGCATCATTTAGTCAACAATAATGACTAGCCACTTGGGTGTCTGCTGTTGGAACTGGAATCAAAATCATTGTTTTTGGTTTAGAAAATTACGGCTTTGATTATTGTGGAAAAGCATCTGATATACACGAAGCATTTTAACTGGTTGTTGTTGTTATAACCCGCTGGAACTTGCTTCTGAAGTTCCTTTGGGAGGTGTTGAACGGCACTTCGCTGGCGATGGGTAGCTTCGGGACGTAGACTTAGCTATTCTTGGAACTCGTTCTAACTGATATAACTATTTGATACAAGGACTGAATGTCTCGATACCATAATGCAATAAAATAGTTTAAAATTAAAGGATGTTATACGGCTCACAATAAATAATCTACTTACTAGCGATAAAAAAAGAGGTAAACTGTACAATTTGTTTTTAAAAAACAATAAATTAATAATAATTACAATTTAATTTATTTTAGATTCAAATATATGAGGATGGTGATGTTTACATTAAAAGGTGAATGAAAGTAGAAGCAAATGTTAGCTGAGATTATATAAAAGAAAATGATCCTAACAAAAGAATATGATATGATATGTTCCTGTATGAAACATAAGACCTTAATATCTCTAAAATATTACATATCTAAATGAAGACTTGCTGATTTCACTTCAGTGAATTAATAAAATATACTCTGCGTATTTGAACTAAAACTTCATATAAACCTTCGACAAGACAAAAATGGCTTTATAAAATGTCGGATTTTCTGAGTATTGAAGTTTATTTGAATTTGCGGCAGTATATTTCAATAAAAGATTAGAGAAATAAAAAAGCGGTTTAATATCTCAAAAACTTACATTATATCATATGTCAATGAGACATGTAACAATGACGACAGATCATTAAAATTATATAAAAATTGCTTTATATTAATTGCTTTATATTAATTGCTTTATATTATATTGATATAGGACAAAAGTGCTTTAGTATTTATTGCAAGTAGACACAAATTAAAACTAAATTAATAGGGGATATCATTTATTAATTAAAAATGGATACAATGGTAGCGGATTTGTTTACAAGAGAAACTTGAATTATAACAAGAAAATAAAGTGTAATTGTAATTTTTGAAGTTACATATATGCAATATACAGTCAAATTTCTATAACTCGAACTCTATAACTCGAACTAAACAGAGTTCAAAAGGGTTTAGAACACAAATTACATACAATTACAAAAAAAAATTTTAACTTGAAGTCTCCAGAAGTCGTACCTTTTCTTTGCAAAATGGTACTTCGATTTATGGAAGCTGAACTGTATATGGAGTTCGGCATAGTAATAATAAAGTATATAAATGCAAACTCATATATCTAATGAGTTCAAGAATTCGTAATACAAGTGTAGAACAAATTTTCATGTATGATTTAAAAACGAGAACGGATGCTGTGATTGCACATCAAGTAGTCAAAACGAGCAACCCCAACACGATGTTGCAGGCATTAGGATTAAATCCACACTGTAGCTGCCGACTGTAAGTGAGAAGTGATACAGTAATACGACATAAGTCAAAATATCAATTACAAGACATAGCGTCAGATAGTTTTTGAATAGAAGCGATCGATCTAGAATTGAAGAAACAGGTTTCTTCTGAAGCGTCTTTTGCTGAAAAAAAAATTAATATAAAGCAAAAAATGTAAAGATCTTATGCTGTTTAAGGAGAAGGATCCCAGATATGAACACTAGCTTAACCACTGTTAAGTATATAAACTCGATTCGAAAATATATGTAAAACATATAAAACATATGTAATATGTGAAACGGATTATATTACTAAACGAATAAGAAAAATATGAAAAGGGTAAGGGAATGCTGCCAGTAGAATGTGTCATTATTAACTTCCTAGTGCAATAATGAATAGTATAATTATTGCTGTAAGCGATTGCAGCGACCTACCTTGAGGACAATATGAACCTTAATTATCGTCGTTCAGAGAATACCAATTGAGTTTGAATAAGTTAAAAATGTCTAAATATACGATGTACTGGAACTCATTCTGCCGTTTCACGATATTTGTTCAAAAATCGACGCACTAAGCTTTCATTAAAATGGATTTGAGCTGCTATTTCGCGTACGGATACATTTTGTTCAACTAGTGCAATAATTGTTGCTTTTTCCTTAACAGTCATTTAGGCTGACTTTTTAATTTATCTCCTATAAAAAAATTCTTTATGATGTGATTGTAGGAACTCGATATTTTTATACCTTCTGCTCAAAAAGTATCCGGAATTTGTTGTTTGTTAACTACTCCTTAAGTAATAGACCTTTTTCAAAAATTTTTTGATTATGTTAATACACCCTTTCTTGACATATGGTACAAATTTGTCAAGAAAGGGTCAATTAGTTTGTTTACAGCAGCTGTTAATGTGAGACTACCTCAAGTGCATTTAGCGATTTTTACTATGGATTTTTACCACTATCATCGCTCAGGCGAAATAAAATAAATTTGGAATAAAATTTAAATTTGTGTGTTTTATTTACAAAGTCCGAGTACTTTTTGAGCAGAAGGTATACCATAAGTTATTATATAAAAATATAAATTTTTTAAAAAACACAACCTAAAGCCCGCCAAAATTTAAATACCATTAAAATTAACGCATAAACCACAGCTATATAAATTAACTTAATCATTGTAAATTATTGGTATAAATAAAATAAAAAGATTTTGTTGAATGCTTATTAATATTCCAATATTTCAGATTATTTTCTTATTAATAGATTTTATTTTATTTTTACAGATCGATGATTTTTTGCAAACATTGGAATTCGATTTGGAACGGGATGTTAATTCGTTCGATGCAGTGCTTGGACAGTGTATGTACTTTGGTTTATCTTTTAGTCGAGTGGGAGCCGATTTTCGTACATTAATGGTGCCAATATTTGTGCGCGTTATAAGAAATAAATTTATAAATTCCATTAGTCAAGTCAATCAAAATTTCGAATACGCCTTGGACAAGTACACATTGATAAATAAGGTTGCCTTGCATGCTAGGAATACAAGTAATAAACAGAATGCAGTTGTAAATGCTCCTACGGATACCACGGATGCACCAGATAAAGATGCTAGTAAACCCAAAGATAATGAATCGCTTGGACCACCAGAAACTTTACTTGATTTTCAGCCTTTAGCCTTACTTTGCAATGGTTACTTGAATGCCTTGAATGAGTTGCGCTTGTGCGCGCCAATCGCTTTAGCCAATGATGTCACATATTGCATACAAAAATCACTAGAAATAGTAGCATTACGCATATTGGCCTTCTATCGTCAGGAGCAGCAAGCTTTTACCAGTAGTGAACGTGAAACATTTGGTAAATTATGTTCATGTTTTGCTTATGATCTACTGGCGTACCTGCAACGTTGCATCCACGCCATTTTTGGTACAGAGACGCTGATGCAACAAATGGGTGTGAATATTTCAGTGTTGGAGCAAGAGCATATTACATTTCTGAAGCATAATGAAATACTGGAACCACTTAAACACTTGCTGCCAAAAAGAATTGAACCACAGATTAATAAAACGTCAGCAATAACGCCAATGCCACAAGCAGAAATGAATACTACAGAAATTGTTGTAGGTTAGGCAGTAGAACAATGCCTTCTATTTTAGTTTCTATTAATTTTTGTATGTTATATCACCTGTGCCCTATATAAATATAATATATGATTAAATTAAAATTAAAAGCAACTCTAAATTGTTACTTTCATTTGCAGTTTGTAACCGCAAAATCTTTAACTAATGCATAAATTGATAAAAATAACCCACAACTGTTTTGGTAATATTATCGAGACTAAACCACCCACACTTCATGCGGTGCAACAATACACATCACACTCGTTAGATACAAAAGTAAATAATGTAATTTATGAATTACAATTAAAAAGGAAAATTAGCCACATGAATCCATCAGCTATCACCCATCATACGAGCAGTGTATCTATCTGGAAAAAGTGGCAAACTGTACATATTGCATTGATTGGCGAGGGAGTTGCAAACACATCGATATAAGAATACAAATGTATATATCGTATATATATATATATATATAATTCTACAGATATATACATATATATATATGTATATGGCATCATATATAGCAGTGAATATTAGTAAAATTTATATACACGTACTTACCACGTACAATGGCAGTTGTATGTGACATGAGTTAAAGTTTTATTTTGCTGCTCGGTCTTTGTGCTTGGGTCATCATTTCTGCAGCTGGTGTAATAAAACTCCCCATTTGGTCATTTGGCAATTATCCCGATAAATTAGCAGCAGGAAGGACAGCAGCACAAAATCAAATAAATGAGCAAAATGGCAACAACAATAACAACAACAGCAATGCCAACAATGGCAGCAACGGCAACGACATCGATGAATCCCATAGACTCTATTACTGGAATTGCCATAATGGATGCACACACATAGCGGTTCATATTTCCAATCACATGATTAGACAAATATATGTATCTCAACGTTCAGCGACGGCGTTTTTAATGTTCGTTCATTGCAGAATATAATTTTCACATTTATAAAAACGAAAATTACTCTTAATACGTGTTTGTGTACAGTGGCCGATGTGCGGGGGTGGGTTCTGCACTGACAAGGGACAAATTTCGAAAAATTATAAAACGTTTTACCGGATTATCTCATTGTTGTTGTTTTGAAATTTTCAAATTCGTATTTTGGAATTGGATATTGTAATTAGAAGTTAGTGAATGCAAGTTTTTTTCTTTAAGAAGTGATGAGGTGTACGTAATAATATGCTCTTAATAATTCGGATAATTATAAGCCAATAGTTCTCTTGATTACCAAACCAAGAATGTAGAAAAATTACATTTTATTTAATCATATTCGATAAATAAAATTGAATTATCGGTTATTAAGTAAAAGTAATAAATAGTTTTAAAATCAACTATGATGAAAGTCATAAAGGACTTATGGAATCAAAATGGCTTTCTTAACTAATTGCTAAGAATTTGCTAATCCACTTCATCTAACTTAACTTATGAAGAAAGTAAACTATTTCAATAATAAAAGAGTTTGTGAATAATAGTAATTTACAACAAAATTTTTTTTAATGTTAATTTTTTCTTGCCGAATCATGAAAACAAACTTTAGAAAGGTTCGTATAGACATGAAAAGACAATAACAAAAATTTTTGTAAATTTATTGAAATTTGGTTGATCACATAACGCTGTTTCGAATATTGCCAAGTACTCATCATTAGTAGTCTTAGGATATATTCGAATTTTTTAATTTGTTTGTAGTTTATATATAATAAGCTAAGCTTAGAGTTTTGAATAAATTAAATAGCAGTAAAAATGTAGTAAAATATAAATATATATAAATATAGATAAATAAATAAATATAAATATAGATATATATAGTAAAAATATAATATAAAAGTATTTGGTCGTAATATAGTAGAAACAATTTGAAATATTAAAAACATATTATGTTTATCTATATGCGTGTATAACACTGTTCCTTAAACGAATATATGTATCATTATCATTATCTGTATCAAACTTTTAATCTACTTCATTATATATATGTATTTATTTACGTCTTTTGGATGCTTATAAGACCTTCACGTCATATTCTATGAGACTGTTTTGTTTTGAACTGAGCTAGAAAGAGATTTTTGGAAAGGAATATCCTATTCGTACTGGTCCATGCGAACTATATTTTCTAGTTGCATGTCTCTTGTGCATACATATAAGACATCTAGTCTTATTCTCTCTGACTGTCTGGCTTTGATTGGTTGCATGTCACTTGGAATCAAATGAGTCCTTTAGGTATATATTCTTTAACTGTCTAGCTGTGATCTGAATCAGAATGAGATTTTTAGATAAAAGATTGCATTTCATATTTTCTTTAACTGTCCACCTGTGATCTGAACCAGTATGAGATTTTTTGACGTGAGTCAGAGGAGTTGAGTCTTTTAGTCACATTTTCTTTAACTGTCCAGCTCTGATTTGGACCAGGATGAGATTTTTATACAAAAGATTATATTACTCCTATTTTACGTGAACTATAAATTTAAACACTATGTCTATTGGAGGCAGATGATATCTCTAGATATATTTTCTGTGATTGCGCGGCGTTTATTTAGACATTTTTGGGTCGTGAAAATTCCTCTTGTTCCACGTGAACCACAATTTTAAGTTGTATGCCATTTGAAATCGAATGAGAATTCTAGTCATATTTTCAGTGATTGTTCGACTTTGGTCTGAACTAGGAAAAAATGTTTGGGTTAGTAATCTTCATTCGGATGGAAGAAGGTGTTTTGTTTAATAGGGTCGGTTAGACGCACAAAAGATCAGTAAACTACTCTACTTGAAGCCAGTTCTTTGCGTAGTTTCTGTTTTCTATGTGTATTACAGGTTCATTCGATTCTCTTTAAATAAAAAAGTTATAATCATAATCATAATCCAGTAAAGCATCTTTATTGATATTAACTTAAATGATTTTGACTAACTTTTTTGCATTTTGTTTTTTAATTAAACATTTTAAAAATTTTAATTTATTTATTAAAAATAATTTATTCGGAAATATTGTATATTTTTTTTGCCTCTCCAATGTTTTGTAATTAGAAAGCATGGCACCTCATTTCTACTCTTAATACAAACTAGTGCTTAGATGGAGTAAATTGCGCTATGATCGAATAACTGCAATGATGTGTAGCGTGTAATTATTTTAACGTGTAGTGTAAATTTCGTTTACGCACAACACAAACATACACATACACACATTCTGTACAAAAAAACAAGTTCAATTGAAGCGAAAATAAAATTGGCGGGCGACTCACATATTAACCACAATCAAAGTCACGCATTTGTGAGGCAAATTTAAATGACCAAACGACCGATCAACCACATCAGTTAGTGCTCAGCTACAAGAACAATAAAACAACAACAACGATTACAACAACAATTGCACTTGCGGTTTATGTTGACGTACGCGTCTGTCGATTGTATTAGAATAAATTTTGTGAAGTGGTTTTCAGCTATTTTTGTGCTATTTTATTTTTTGATTTTGATTTGTATGTATCGTTTTTGTTGTTGTTGTTGTTGTTGGTGGTGTTTTTTTTTGTTTGTTGTGTGAGCATTCGTAAGTGTGGACGAAATTTTTTATTTTTGCATTGCAATAATTGAGCTTGGCGCTAAATTGGGATTTCGCGGATTTGCAAGTGATTGCTTGTTTGATTGTCCTGCTGCCTGCCTGCTGCTGCCTGCTGCCTGCCGGCTACCAGCTGCAACACTGTGTGCACGCACGAGGTGGGTGTCACTAGAAATGGGGCCATATTTGTGATGTGCAGTTGCAGAGCAATTTAACAGTTTTGATAGTTGAAAAGGTAGATCTATTATAAGAATTTTTTATTATGCCTTCTCAAAAGGCTTATGCGCGGTCAACCGAACTGCCGAAGCCAAATAAAGCCACACAAGTACGTAAACTGCAGTGATAAGGGGAGCTGTTGGTTAGAGGAGTTGTAGCATGATCGGGTGAACAATTTTTTGTTGTAATAGGAGCACGAACAATTGTAGTCGTAGTAGTTGGCATTACAAATGTAGCGAAATATGCAAACATGTCTGATGGACAAGTGAAAAGTTTAGTGCTCTTCTATATTTTTTTGTTTTTGTTTTTTCTATTTTCAAGCTATTCGCTATACTTGCAATGCATTCGCATACACACACACAAACGAATCAACGAAACTGAGTCAATTTGGTGCACTGCTAATGTAATAGAGTTACAACTACAACTACACATTAAGTATGCGTAGAGAAGTGTGCATAGAGTTTGAGTTATGTGGGTTAGCAAAAACAAAAAAAAAACAACAACAATATCAAACCTACAGGCAACAGTAATAACAATTGAAAGAGTAGGAGTAAAAGTGGCAAAAGGGATAGTAGTGGTAGTAGCGGCAGAGGTGGCAGTAGTGGTAGTAGTGGCAGAGGTAGCAGTAGTGGTAGTAGTGGCAGCATAGGCAATAGCAACAATATTTATGTGATTTCGCGTTTGCAATCACAAAAATTCCAGTAAACCGACAAATTTTTCTTTGTTGGCTTATTCTTATGTTTATAAATGTGTAGCTTAAACATGTGTGTGTGTGTCGGTACGAGTGTGTGGGTTTGTAATTCCATGCGTTTTCGTAGGTGCAATTTGGTTGCAATTGTTGTTGGTAGGTGCTTTTGATGAATTGTGTTGAGTTGAGATAAATGCTGTTACGCTTACATTCTGAAAATAACTGACCCGGTAAACAGTTCTTAGTGACGTCAACTGCAAATTAAAAAAAAAAAACAAAGGTGGTCTTTTATTTCACGGCATCTGATATTTCTTTTTTTAGAATTATTGAGGACATTGAGGATATATGTAAAAAAAAATTGTTGCCTTTTATTTTGCGATATCTGCTATCCTCTTTCTCAGGGCTATTAAGTATATATGAGTATTAAAAAAAACTATTAGCAGTTTTTTTTTCGTATATCTGCTATTTCTTTGCTTAGAATTATTGAGAATATATTAAAAAAAAAAATTGTTTCATTTGATTTATAACAGTTTTTTTTCGTCCTATTAGAAGATCTGGTGATTTCTTAAAAATCAGTTTTTAAAAAAAATCAGTTTGTCCTTTACCCCTAGTTTTAACAATATTCCTGAATTTAGAGCCGTTAATAAATCCAATGCACTTAAAGATATAAGGTCATCCACTTTGTGATTTCAAAGGAGAACTAAAGATACGCTTGTGATTAACAGTAAATTTCGATAAAAATTTAATTTCAAAATATTGCTTGAACCTTATTATTAGGTGCTAAACACAAAATCAATTAGATATTTCTGCAACTCATCTTACAGCACTGCATCATTTTGAGGTTATTTGTGTTGACTTGTCGACACATGGTCATCATAATCAATTCCTGTGTATCCCACTGAAGTATAGGGCCTCTAAGGTTTCTGCTATATTTGAATTTTTGTTAAGA